AATGCCTGTTATTTGTGCACGCTATAATATAGATCCAACTACAATTCAATTCCACTCGAATCGGAGCAAAAAATACAACTCAAGATTAAAAACAAATCGCATCCAAAAAAATTGGAAAAGGACACCCGCACAACAAATTTGCTTGGACGGGATTTGACAAAAAAAATTCAAAAACAATTTCTAAAATAGGTAAAAAAAAAACACGAAAAAAAGAAGCGGGAAAAACGCTATTCAAATTATTTCGTAACTCTGTTAAATTGCTCGAATTATTTCTTAACTCTATTATATAGTAATAATTTTGCTATGAAACCAACAGTTGGATCTATAGTGAAGCCAATTTTTTATACACAACAAATAAAAGATTGACTCCACTATAAAGCCGACTATTAGCTTCGTAGCAAAACCGTATATAGCAATAGATTTTACCATTTAGAAAAAGGTCTTTATAGTGGAGCCAACTTTTTATACACAACAAATAAAAGATTGACTCCACTATAGAGCCGACTGTTGGCTTCATAACAAAATGGTATATAGCAATAGATTTTACCATTTAGGAAAAGGATTGGACAAAGACTCCCAAATTTACCGTTGCAGATAAAGCAGTGAGCCAGTGGCACAGCCGTTAATAAGAAAGAAAGAAAGGTGAATTACCGTAGGTAATCTCGTAAATAAAGCACAAGGAGAAGGGCCTACCACGAAAACTACAGAATAATATAATCCCCGAATTGCCCCTAAACGATTCCGCTTCCTCGCTTCCTATAAATGTCCCCTACTCCCTAACTGAACACCTTCATCCATCACTTGCCTATTGCTGCTCGTTTCTCTCTCTAGCTTCTCTCCTTTATTCCTTTCCTAGTTTCTCTCTCTTAGGGTTTTAATCACTCCTCTTCCTCTCTGAGTGAAATGGCGCAAGAGGTGCAGAACGGTGCCGGAGCTGACAACGGCTCGAAGGGTGATGAGGTGGCCTCAGCGGTGGTCAAGCCGTGGTTGGTGGTGGAGGCGCCCAAGGCGAACGACGCCGTTCAGTTCTACAAGGCGGCGTTCGGAGCCGAGGAGGTGAGCCGCGTGAATCATCCCAAGAGGAAGGCGGAGCAGGAGATCCCTCTCGTTCTCTCAGCAGAGCTCAAGCTCGGGACCTCTGTTATTGTTGTCTCTGATCTCACTGATGACGACTCTTCTCTGTAAGTCTACTTCCATTTTTTCCCTCTTTCTGTTGTTTTTTTTCTCTCTCTCTGCTATTTTTAAGACTTGTTAAGCGTATTTTTTGCTGAGAGCTTTGGATTTCGTTGGTATTTTGCTCAGATCTGAGTTTTTTCAGTGTATATTTTGTGCTGTTCCTTTGGTTTTAAGGTAATCGTCCTTATTTATATGTTGATGCCGGGTAAATGCTCAGAATAGCCACGGTTGAGATGAGATGATTTGTTTAAATCAATCGTTTGCGTTGTCCACTGCTCTTTGAAATTGATGATACATCTGCAATATTTGTTTTAATTTCTCTTTACTCTGCTCTATTTTCTTTCCTTGCTTTCAAGCTTTGAGATGCTGTACTCAGATTATCAGATGTGTATTGCTATTATAGTTATTTTTAAAATGCTTTAGTTGTTTTTTTTTTCCCATATTAGTTATATTCTCAGTAGATGTGTAGTTCCGTCACGCGTCTTCAATGACTTTTGAGTTCTGATAGCCATAACTATACGGTCATGCATGCATTTGTCGTGGTCATTAAATCCTCTCTCTGCAGTGTCAAGTGACGAAAATTTTAACATATTTTGTTACAAAGCTATATTCATTCACTTTTCTTTTTATGTATTGAATATATTAGGGTGAAATCTGTTGTGACCGGAAGCGTGTTCTGCCTTGAGACCGGTGATGTTGAAGCTGCCGTCGCCAAAGCAGTGGCTGCCGGTGCTGTTGCCGAAGGCGAGATCGCCGAGGGTGAGGGCGCGTTTTGCGGTGGGCGCGTGGGGAAGGTGAAGGACCCTTACGGCAACATCTGGCTCATCTGCGCCTCATCCAAGAAGTGTGGTGACGTGGCAGCTTAACAGCCCTCGATATCGACTGCAGCAGCACCAGCATCCTCCCACTGTCCTTTCTCCAGTACCTGTTGCTTTATGTTTTGTACTTAATCTTCTCAGTTTGACTTTTCCGTGTTATCCGATCGAAAGAACAAATTAATTAACTATTTTGGCTATTGTCTTTGACGTTGATTAGTCGATGTGAACAGTCAAATCTAGGCGACTCTGCTAATTAAATTTCGTTTGCTTTTTCTTTTTTTTTTTTTAATTTTGAAATTGAAATCGAACTCGTTTGGCCTCGTTAGATGGTGTGTTTTAATTTTGTTTGGTGTTTGTGATTATGTTTGTGGGGAAAATGGGATTCTCGTGAATAGAGTTTTGGTTCTCTCTTTCATATTTTAAATAGTACAGTAGACATTGATAGTCGTGAACCTTTAATTCTGTCAGTGTATTCTACCATTTAAACAAAATTTCCTCCACGATTTCAAATCCTCTTACAATCTGATAGAAATAGTATTTGTGAATAGATATACAAATAAAATATTATCAGTTAAATTATTACTAGTATCGTGGACCGTGCAAACGCACGAAACTATTAAAAATAAATGAAATAAGGAAACATAAATAGAATAAATAATTTTCATATGCAATTAAAATAGACTATATACAATGTTTATATTTGTATATTTTATTTCTCATTATATATCAGTATCTTGTGTCTTTTTATTTGTAACTCGAGAAACAACAATGTAAAGTTTATAATTAAAAGTCTAAAAATAGATTCCTATATATATATATATATATATATATATATTCTTTAGTTTATTTTTTATTAATAGAATAAATTGACATAGTATTAACGAATTTCTTACTAAAACCGTTATTTTTTTTTTATAAAATCTAACGATGTGGACCAAAATTTATTAATAGACGAAAAGTTGAGTAACTAAATTGATTTAACTGAAACATCATGTACTAAATGCGCAAATATATATAGTTGGGGTATAAAAATTTTCTCAAATTATTTTATTATCTTAACACATTTTATACAGTTTATTTGAACTTATCATGTAATTTAGATCGTATTTTGACACTTGAATATATTATTTCTTACTTGTGTGGTTTTATAATTTATAATGTAATCTTATTTATTAATTATTATTAACTATTAATAATTCACCGTGATTCAACATATCATGTACATGTAAAAAGAAATTTACTTTTATATTAATGAGAAATCAAAACAAAACATTTTAAAATGACTATATATAAATGGTAATAACAAATTTAGGTTCACTTTTACTATTAACTTATTATTAAAAATGAAAAAAAAAATATTTAACGGAGGTTGAAGCACATTTTATAAAATAATAAAAAATTGAAACTAATTTTCCATAAATAGTAATATAATAAGGGACCCACTAAAACACTTACTATTTTTAGTAAGTGGGTTGCCTAATTATATAGTAATAGATTATTATTATTATTTACTAGAAGAGATATTGATAGACGTGATCAGGTGCCAGGCCACGGGCCCTCTAACACGACCTCGACCGGCCTGCTAAGAACCAAGGGTCGGTACATAGAACCGGCCCGAACCGCTGGTTCACCGGCCCGACGGTTTACGGGCCGGTACGACCCTTAAGAAAAATAAAGAATTTGCCCCGACTTGGCCCGACCCGGCGGGACACAAATAAAAAAATGGAACAGGGACCAAACTGCGGCCCTACGGTTCCGATTCAACGAACCGACCCTTAGGAGGCCGGTTCCGGGCCGGGCCGGTGCCGGTTTGCGGGTCGGGCCACGGGACGGTTCGGCCCGTGACCATGTCTAGATATTGATAATAATGACCCATATAAATATCATCGTAATTACTTGCATTTATTAGTCACTCTGGTGGGTGTAATAATACTAGTATAATATCTGTGTATTACACGGGGTTGTTAAAAATTATTTTTATATTTTAAAATTAATGAAGAAAATTATTTAAATTTTATTTACTTTTTTACAGAAAATATATATTATTATATATTTTAGAATGACATTTTGTTACTTGTATGATTTACATGTGTTATATTATTATAATTTTATAATTTATATCATATAACTACTTAAAATATAAATATATGAATTGATACATAATTTTATTTTATTAATATTAAAAGACAATTTTTATTATTATAAAGATAAATATAATTTTTTTATACATACAATATGTAAACTGATGAAAAATACAACAGTTATTAACTTTTAAAATACATTTAGAATTTCATGCTTAAAACAAGACATGATATTAAAATACAATAATATATGTACCATGACCATAAATAATCAACATATTTGTTGATAATGCAAATTTAATTATATTTGGATTGGAAGTAAATTACAGTCTACCAAAGTCTAATAACTAATTTTGTCACATAGGATCTCGAAGCATGCGAGTCTGCCACTTAGACTCAGCACATTTTGAATTAATATATATGAGAGATATAAAATAAAATAATTAAAGTTGATTTGATGTAAAAGTATGACAATATGAAGTGAAAGTTAGAATTACATGAGTAGATAATAGTAAATTAAAGTTAATGTCGTGTGAAAATAATTGGTTAATACTCTCTATATCTATATATATATTAAACTGAAGCAGCTGGAAAAAAAAAAAAAATTTCCCTCCCATTTTATATTAAATGTTACTCATTAATGTTTGATAAAATCAATAAATATTGTCTAAAAATTAAAAGTCTTATTGGAATTGTGTATAATAGATAATAATATTATTGGGAATGTTGAATAAGTTGATAATTGTTTAGAATGTTGTGCTAATTCTACACATCTCTATACAACTAATAATTAGATCAAACAAAAAAAACTTAATGATTAATGTCAAATTTTCTATTAATTGTCCTCAATGGACTATTTCTTTAAATTTTTAAAACCTTCCACTTTGGATATTTTAAATTATAAAACTATATTATGTTTTCATTATAAAACCACCATATAAGAGCTTAATGTAGTCCTAATTTAGTTATACATGTTTCACAATCATTTTGAAATTGTAAATTTGTAACCACATAATATAAAACCTAACATATATTTAATTATAATAATGCGGTAAAATAAAAGTTTATAGAATTTAAAAGATTAAAAGACATCATTTTTATAGGATGTCTTTA